GGGGGGGGGGGGGGGGGGGGGGGGGGGGGGGGGGGGGGGGGGGGTCCTGGGGGGGGGGGGTTATCCAGCTCCTGTCTTCACATTGAGGGCTCTGTCCACTCACAAATTCTTCGGGTCGTGTCTGCCTCAGTGATTCTGATAAATTGTCTCATTCTGAGTACTATGTCCATTGCCAGATTTCCTATTAATATGATTAGGAGTCTATGCTTTTAAATGTCTACTCCTGTTTTAGTGGAATTATTTTAATTGTGTATTTTTGGATATTCCAAAATTCTCTAGGTGAAATGCTATAAGAGATTATGCACAGCTCAGCTGAACTAGGAAGCAGGTGACTGTAGGGGAATGGAGAGTTGCTTGTGGGGGCCCGCGCCCCTCATGGCCCTTTGGTCTCTTGCTTCTAGGCCTCATGTCCGCTGTCTACCCTCCAGCCTCAGCTCCAGAGCTGCTGCTTCCAGGAAGCCCTCTCTGATGAAACTTGGTTAGATCTTTTTCCTGTGTGCTCTGGACAGCCCAGGGGTATCTGCTTCATCCCTCACTACATTAAAAAGAAGGTATCTGTTTGCTAATCACTCCTGGGAGGCAGGTGCTGTTGCTCCCAGCCAGTACCCTGCCCCTGATACCTCCTAGAACCTCAATAGCTGATGCTAGAACTGCTGAACTCAGTCCTATGAGATAAGCCCTCCTAGGAGTAAATGCACAGAATTGTATTTTGCTAAAGGAGCCATTTGAAACAGTGCACCTATTTTTTGGATATCCAAACTCACCACTCTCTCTCTTCCCCAGATGTTTCAAACCCCAAATCCAAAGTGGTTGGGCCACTCCTCCAACCCCAGTTGCAAGCTGGGCACATAGGTGTTCTAGACAGTTATGGTTCCTTCCCTTGTCCTGCAGCATCTGATGTGCGCTGGCCTCTGGTGCCTGGTAGAAGGAGATACATCCTGCAAGACCAAGCTGGACCCTCCCTTGGATGGCACCGAGTGTGGGGCAGACAAGGTAACCCCTGGGCTCCCACTGCCCCCCAGCAGGCAGCCCTACATCTCCTGGGCACTAGGCAACTCTCCTTCTCAGAGGCAGTCTGCACTCTGTGCTCAGGAGCCCCTGAAACATCCCCTGGGCACAGTAGAAATGCCCACGGAGCCCACTCCAGGCTTGAAGGGGTGCTAAATCACCTCACTCCTTTTTCTCATATAAGATATAAGAATCATTTACTTAATATTTTTTTAGATTAACTCCTTTTGTCATATGAGTGAATTTGCTTAAAAGGAAAACTTTCTATCAGTACACTTTAAGTGGGAAAACAGCACCACTTGTCACACAGAAGGCTATTATAAAATGTATTTGGTGAGAACAATGTTATCCAATTCTAGCTAGAGCCTAAGAGAGTGAGACTGATCCTCAAGAATGGTAGTGGTGGGTCAGTGTTAGAAAGGAGAGGTGTTCAGGACCCACAGCCACAGACACCTTCTCCTTTGTGTTATTGCAAGGACTGAGAGAGAGTTGGAAAGGAAGTAATGTTTCACTTTGCTGATGTTATTAGGGATCCCTAAATCACATCTCATGCCCCAGAGTATGTGCCATACACTTGGGAAATTCTGTTTTAGGGGATTGGCTTTCTCTTATCCTCAGAAAGAACTGAGGTCCACTCGTGTGGGGCGGGCTGTGTCACCTCTAAGCACAAACCCACCTCTGAAGTTCAGATCCTCAGAACCAGGAGGTTCTGTCTTCCAGAGAGAAATGCTCACATATAGCAACATTTACTGAAGCTCACATTTCTTCATGGGCCATGTGGATTAATCCTTTTTCTGGGAATTTAGAAAATCCCAACAGAGCACATTCCACATGGAAGTTTAGGGCAAAATCTAAACCCCAGAGGGATATAGGTATCAGGTTGAGTAAGCAAGGAATGTCACTAAACTTAGCAAACACCTCAAATAGTCCACTTCTGTGTCAATTTTGAAAGATCGATTTTTTGGTGGCATGGCGTTCTTGGGCACCAGGGAAATGGCTGTCCTGTGGGTGGCGGGCGAGCGGCTTTGCTGACCTGCTGTGTTTCAGTGGTGCCGCGCGGGGGAGTGTGTCGGCAAGACGCCCATCCCGGAGCACGTGGACGGAGACTGGAGCCCCTGGGGCACCTGGAGCATGTGCAGCCGAACGTGTGGGACGGGAGCCCGCTTCCGGCAGAGGAAATGTGACAACCCCCCGTAAGTGTCCCCTGCCCAGGCATTCCCCAGGGTGCCTCGAGCAGGGCTTCCCAACTGCAGCTGTCATGCAGGGTCTGCCTCCTGCTGAGATTTAGAGAAGGAAAATGAAATCACCCAGGGTCTGCGTGCAGGGCCTTGTGTGTGCCAGGGGCCGACCCGGCTTCAGTCGCATGCTGTGAGAGGACATAGACACCGCCCAGTCCTGTCCTATGGTGGGCAGGCCCCTTTCTTCCTCATGTGCACCCTGGTAGAAAGGTTTCCCAAGACAGCTGGATGACAGCCCCTCTCACTTGTTTCATGGTTTACTTAGTCAAAGGTCATTTGGGGGAAGCCTGTAGACGTTCAGGAAAGAGAGGCCCAACTAGAAATTGGCTGTTAGCTGATTTGGGAGCAGCCTGGCTTAATGGGTCACGAAGTATCTATGGGGTCGGCTGTCTTGTTCATCCAGATATTTTTCATGAGTCCTCTTGGAGCTATTCGGCAGAAAACATTTTTTGGTTTTCTTTCCTCTTTGGTTTCTTTTTGACTATGATGACCCCATAACCCTTCTTGTTCCCCTCTTTGTACATTTGCTCCAGAAAACTCAGGGATAGACTTCTGTGCTCAGTTATAGCAATTCCTTCACCACAGGTTCTCTCTTCTCCTCTCCAAGTTTCCCATTTTCTAATATTTGTGTTAACGCTCTGTTTTATGTCTCGGGTCTCTGCCGCATCATATCCATTTTGAAAATGGGCAAGTTGTAAACCCTGACTGAAAAGAAATGCTTGCTACTTACACTTAAGTCCTGTTGATGAATAATTAGCAAATGCCTCTTGCATTTAAAAACCCTGATGTCCAGGCTGTACCCCAGACCAATTAGTCACGAACCCTGAGGGTGGGACCCAGGAACTGGATGTTTTAAATCTCCCCAGGTGACTCCAGTGGCCAGCTAAGGTTGGGAACCTCCAGATTCTAGGAAAATTTCTGCTCACAGTTTAGTCAGTGGCAAGAACACCTCTTTTTCCAGTAGTGCTTTTAGAACTGGCGTCATGTATTATTGTCATGTTAAAACTTTTCCCTCCAGCACCCAGCAGAGTGCCTGGCACATAGTAGGTGTTTCACCTGTTAGAGATGACTTCTTAATGAAAAGCATAGATGGGTAGATGATTGGAAACCCTTGGTTTCTCCAGACACTTCAAACTGGACCCTTTCTAAACTCTCCTCCCACCCCCTGTCTCCATTCCCAGTAAACAGCACTGCTGTACCCTGCACCGCTCCAGTCCAGGCCCCGGAATCTGCGTGCCATCCTCTCATGCCCGTCCCTCCTCCTCCATGTCTGATTGTGATAAGGACAGCGAATGCAGCAGACCCCTGCCGTGTGCCAGGTTCCCTTGGGCATTTATGTAGTAAATCATTTTTATGTAGCCCTGTGGGAAAAGTGTTCTTTCATCCCCATTGAACAGATAAAAACTGAGTCAGAGAGAAGTTAGGTAACTTGCCCAAGTCCACACTGCTAGGTGGTAGGCCGGGTTTGGAACCCAGTTCTAGAAACCAGAAATCCTAAATCAAGGCGCCAGAAGGGTGGGTTCCTTCATGGCACTCTGAAGGAGAATGTGTCCCTTGCCTCTCTGCTAGCTTCTGGGGGTTGACAGCAGTCTTGGCCCTCCTTGGCTTGTAGGGGCATCACTTCAGTCTCTGCCTCCATTTTTAAGTGTTTTTTCTGTGCGTCTCCTCACCATTTCTTCTCCTAGAAGGACACTTGTCATTGGATTTAGGGCCCACCCCAATCCAGGATGACCTCATCTCAAGATCCTTAACTTAATTATATCTGCTAAGACCCTTTTTCCAAATAAGGCCACATTCCCAGGTTCCAGGTGACATATGTTTGGATGGGCAAAGGGGCAACCATTCAACCTGCTCCAGCCCTGAAGCCTCCTTTCCATTCTTTAGCCACAACGTTCCAACCCCAGGACCTTCATTGATGCTCTTTTCCCTCTACCTGACCTGCCTCTGCCCCTCTTCGGGTTTCAATGCAAATGTCTTCTCCATCCCTGACCCCCTGCTTAAAGTGAGGTGCTGCCTCACTCTCCTACGGAACCCCTTTTAATAAAGGCTATCATGTCCTTGCTCACTTGTTTTTACTTTGTCCTCCCCACTGGCCTTCAAGCTCCACGAGCATCTGGGATGGGCCACACCTGTTTGGGCGCTTTCCTCCCCTCCCTGCCTACAGCAGTGCAGCCACTCCGAAAAATGTGCTGACTGCCTTCCCACCCAGCACATGCTTGCCCAAGAAAAGCAACCGTTCTGCAATGCAGTGCCCCAAAACACATCCCTGGTACCATTTTTCCCTCTAAGACACAAAGGTTGTTATCAATTATTAGGCCAAAAAAGCAGATCACCAAGTAGGTCTCCTTTCCTTGGATCCCCTCACCCCACTGAGACCCAGATGCTAGGAACAGCCACGTGAGGACCATCTGTCGCCCATGCCTGCCCTTCTCCAGCGAGGCTGGAGCACATGGCCAGGGGTGTTCAGCATTGTCTCAAGAACAAGCTTCAACACGTAGCCCAGCCTCACTTGTCCTGACTGAGAGAAACAATATGTTTTTGCTCCCACAATATTTACGCCTTTGTAGCCTGTCCGATCTTTCTCAGTGACAGTGTAGCTCGATTTCCTGTCCTGAACAGAAACGGCATGCTCTTTTCTCCTTTGTCATTTTCTACAAAGTTTCTCACCTTCATGGAACCAGCCCAGGTGGATGGGAAGAGACGGGGCAGGCTGTGGGCAGGGAATGAACAGCAGTCTCGGCTGCTTCCCGAGGAGGTGCAGGATGCTGACGGTATTTCACAAAGTCCAGCTTGCTTTTGCAGAATGGCTCGATGTGGTGATTGTTACACAACACAGCTGATCGAGGCCTCAGAGCCAAGCTCTGACCAAAACAACGTCCTCTCCTTGTCTCACTCCTTAAATCACCAGGCTCGCTGCCTTGAGATTTCACAAGGATGTCCACATCTCACTGCTATGTACGTCTCGGGCTTGGAATGCTCCCACGGCCCTCGCCCCGCCCCCTTCTCTCTATATTTCTGGCTGCGTTCCCCATCTTCTGCAGCTGGTTTATTCACTGTCCAAAAATATTGGCAACAGTCCTTGCCCTTTTTTTCTCTAGTCTTGGTCTTCACAGCTATTGGAATTTTTATTTTCTGCCAGTTGACATTGAGGCCCTCAGGAACGTTTGTGCTTTTAAACCAGCTTCCTAGCTCATGCTTTCCTGCCATAATTTGTGTCACTGCAGGAGTTACACCTAGACTACAGGGTAGAAAATTTATCTCTAATTTGAATCCCGGCACTCCATTGAAGGCTTGGGTGTTGGGAAGGGCTAGGGAGGAAGAAGGGGAGAAGGTTCAGACATGCTCGTGTGAAAAGTCAGCTCCGTCCCCATGGGTGCAGGATAGGAAGGCAAGTGGACTGCAGAACTGGGGTGTGGCAGGGTAACTGCACAGCATGGCCCCACAAGCACCAGAAAGGGAAAGGGAAGCTGCTGGCCTGCTGTGATCTGTGGGAGGATGGGTGGAATGAGGTTATATGCCTGTAATTGGTTTTTGCTTCCACAGTGAAACCCCATATATGTGCTTTTTAATGCGCCAGTGACCTGGCCTTCACATGGGTAGTTTTTAAAAACCCAAGTCTTCTACATTTAAGCATAAATTACATGTGTTCCTTGGATACCTTTCAGAATAGGCCTTAAAACTAGGACATTCACGACCCTGAAGGAGCATGAGCAGCCTGGCCCCACTTCTGGAACCCTACAGTATTGCCCTCCCAGCTGGTCGGAGCTCATAGAGCTGGGGAGGCTGGGGCTGACGCTCTCTGCTGGACTGGTGGTGTCTCTGGGTGCTAAGCGGGTTTGTACTGCTCTTGTGACTTTATCTTCTGATCCATCTTCATTTAATAGAGTGAAATACAAAATAGAGGAATTGCCATTCAGCGGGCATCCTCCTCTTCCAGCCTGCCTCGATTCTGCACGCCTACCCACTCCCCAGCAGGGGCAGACCTGCCGCTGCATGACCTTGTCCTTCTCAGCACACCTTTGCTGCTGCTGCATCTGCCTGAGGCACTGCACACCCCGCCCCAGAAGGGGTTTGAGGAGGATTTGGGGTGGAGCTCACCTTTCTCTGCACACCTTCAGTTTCTCACCAAAGCCTGTCTACCTTATTCTTTTCCTTGGTTTTAAACCTATTTATGAAGGTGGAAAAGCCCATCTCCCTGCACAGTGTTGCTTATCAGGGGCGAGCACGTGTTGGGGCACACATGCCAGGTGCATGGCCACGCAGTGGGAGGGGAGCCGCCGGCTTCTAGTGCACATGTGTGACCATGTGACAGCTCACCAGCTCTGCAGAGTGGCCCTGCCTTTTTCACTGCCATGAGCCGTGGTCAGGTTCCACCTGCTCCACAGCCTTGCTGACACATGATGTTATCAGTCTCCTCCCTTGGGCCATTCTGGTGGGTGCATGGCAGTATCTTGTTGAGGTTTTAACTTGTACTTCATCAGTAGTGAGGCTGAGCATCTGTTTATGTCCTCATTTGCCATTTGGAGATCCTTCTCTTGTGAAGTGCCAGTTCAGGCCCTTTGGTTTATATCTAGGCTTGTACTTTATTCATGTTTAGAAAGTCCTAGAAATTGGCAGTTGATATTAGAGGTGCATCTTTAAACACCACCACATCCACATGATGGTGTCAGTGAGACAGCCTGTGCTTTCTGGCCTCTCAATGGCCAAGGGGCAGCCCTGTCCCCGAAGCAGGGCTCCTGTTCTGCTGCCCCCAGGAGCTCTTGTGCACTGTGTTTCTTATCTCTACCTCTTCCTCACCAGCCAAGCAGATTTAACTTTTCAGAGCTTCAGTTTCCTCGACGCAGTCAGGAGCCCTTTTGATTCCTTGTGCAGACTTAATGAGATGATTTTGAATGGTTTGCAAAGCATGGTTCCTCCCAGAGGCCTCGCAGAGCCTGGAGCCAGTGCCTTCTAGC